GGTTGGGAGCCTCGAGCGATCCCAGGGGGGTCGAATAATTCAAAAAAGGCTGATTTTTTCAGTACATTTTGGCAGGTGAGTACAGTAGAATTGCCCAGGTTTTCTGAAGACATTGATTTTCAGCGAAAGGCGTTGTAAGGGTTTAGGCAGTTTAGGGTTTCGGGTTTGTATACGCTCAACCCTTTACACTTTACATTTGGCTTGGCATGATTTAGATTTGGGTTGTTGGATTCTCAGGGATATGCCTAAACCCTGCCTTAACACCACATGCCTCAACGCCTTGTAGAACTCCTTTCAAGTGAACTGTATGGTTTATCTCAGGACACCAACAAAGAAGTTGAACCGTGAACCCTGCGCAAAGAACTAGGTTGATGGTGGTGTTACCCTATGGAAAAATGCATCTTATAATCCCTGGCATTCTATCTGGGTCTTTGTTGTATGCAACTTTACATTTTTGTGAAAATAAAACCCGCTACTGTAACAAGGATTAAAAATGATTGATTTTAAAATATATATATATATATGTATATATATACATATATATATATAGAGCCCCAACAGGGAACCAGGTATGGTACGCGCAGGAACCTTAGGGGGTTGACGGTCATGACCCCGGAGAGAGCCGGAGGGCCCTTAGACCCCTAAAAAACCGTAGGCTCGTACGTTATTTAGGGAATTAAAAAAGAGCCCAAGTGCCCTAAAACCTTATAGACCCCCAGACCCCTAAAAGAGACAGAGGGACTCACACCCTAAGCCCCAAAAGAGCGCGAAGGCCACGAGCCCTAAGTTCTCACAGAGACCGAGGCCCGTAAACCCTAAACCCCTAAACCCTAGGCACCTAAAGCCGTAAAGCCCTAAAGCTTATATAAACCCTAAACAATTAAACCCTATAAACCCTAAAACCCTAAACCCTAAAGCTTTTAAAGCCTAAACAACTAAGCCCTAAACTCTAAAAGCCTAAACCCTAAAGCTGTTAAAGCCTAAACAACTAAAGCCCACAAGAGACCCAGGGCATGGCTACCACAGCGCCCGGAGCATCGTCGAGTCCTCCTCAGCCACGAGCTCCCAAGACTCGGAGTCGGCGACCTGGCTGCAGTTTAGGGTTTAGGACTTACAGTAGAAGCCCAAAAGTTGGAAACCCAATAGCCTCAATCCTTAAGGGTAATATATAAGGAATCCCAGCACTATTTGTCCTTAATCCGGTTTACAACTTTTTGGGGTTAACTGTAGAGTTTAGGGTTTGGGGCTTTTGGGGTTTAGGATTTAGGACTTTAGGCTTTAGGGTTTGGGGTCTAGGACGTTAGGCTTTAGGGTTTGGGGTCTAGGACTTTAGGCTTAGGGTTTGGGGTCAAGGGTTTAGGGGTTTACTTTCCCGTATGTGACATGATCGTTTATGGACTTTTGTTCTTTTTCTGTTGAGATGTGCTTGAAAGGTTTTTGGTTCATGAGGGAGTGTTGTTTTACAGGGCTTATGGGTGTTGTGTGAAGCGTTATGCGTTGTTGTTGTTTGTGTTTTTTTTCCGAATTTGTTGTCATTTTTTACGGTTTAATGTGGACGTTGTAGGGTATTTATCGGGTTTGCAACTGTAGTTTTGACGCGCTTTTCTTGGCTCTGTATGGATTCATTTTTCATGGTAAGCCCGTACCCCCAGCGAGAAATTGGCTTTTCTAAAGAAGTACGTTCAGACGGATAGACATGCCTAGAAGGGGGCTCGTTGTTCGAAAGATCCTCGGAGTGACCACAGAAGCACCCCAACATAGCCGAAGCCCAAGCGAACAACCGTGCAATCCTAAATGCTGTGTTAGCAGGTCAGGATTTGGGCTTTAGGGCTGAGACACCCTGACGTTCTAAAGCTGAAGGCGCATGTGACGTGCCCTAACACCTAAACTCTAGCCTACACCTGCAACTTTCAACCCTTCCAGGACCCGCAACAGAGGATGAGAATAGGATTTTGGGCCATGATCGAGGAAGTTGGGGGATCTAGGCACTTGAGCCCCAAACTTTCAGCCTTGTGTCCCCATCAAGGCCTATGGTGACCCCTTAATGGAAAAAGCGACCGAATTTGCGCAGACAAAAACCATATGAAACCCTTCCAAATCCTTAAATTGCAGAAGCCACCCTCCGGGGCCACGAGTTCGAAATTATGGGTATACATATATGAGAAGCACCCAAGGGCGCAGTCCTACGAACTACCCGGGACTCTACAGTACATCCATGAAGTTCCCAGAGTGCCAAGGAATCCTCTGGACGAGTTTCCGAGGTCGCTGATGGATGGGTTCTGGTTCGGTTTAGGGGTTAGGGTTTAGGGTTTTGCAAAAGGTCGTTTTCTTTCGGGTTTCAGGGAGTACTGTAGGAATCTTGAGACTTCATCACGGAGTGTTCCATCGATTCGTGGATGATGGATCTCGTAGCAGAGGGTCTGTGTGTAGATGGGAAGTCTAGTTCCGAGTGCAGGAGGGAGGGCTTCTGGAGCCACAACAACGGAACAAGATTCCTGCATAACCACAAGGAAGATGTCACTTAACGACAGCGCAGAGTCATGATCAACAACCCCAGCCGTGAAATTGTAAGAATTGTAAGAGCCTGAAAACCCTCAAAAGCCAGAAGCCCTGGACACCGAAAGTTTGCCAGCTGCTTCACTTCCAGCCTGCCCAGAAATGCTAAACTTCGCTATTCCCCTAAACTTATAAACTGAATACCCCAAGTTCCCAGAGCCCTGAACCGTAAGCCTTCAACCCAGTCCTCTCATGGGACGTTTAACGGAGCCAATCCAGGAACAAAGCAGACAGTGCTCTTATGGCTCCTGTGGCAAGGATAAACCAACCAGCCGCCAAACAAAAACCCTAAACCCCTAAACCCTAAAACCCTAAAACCCTAAACCCTAAACCCCTAAAGCTTAAGTGAGTAGCACAGCCTTGAGCTCACTGTCACATCAGGTCCTTGAACCCTTATTCTTCAACAACTTTAGGTGTTGGGGTTTAGGCAAGGATCCGTGACAGTTTGCCGATGAGGGTGGAGATCTTGTCGCACACACCTTGGGTTAACCTTACTTAGGGTAGTTGTGACTGTGACTGATCTTGTCCCTATAGTTTGCACAGTGGTCAGATCATCTCGTCTTCCTCGCTTGTGGGCATAGATCCTTAGCCATGCGAGAGGGAAAAAAAAACCCTAAAACCCTAAACCCCTAAAGCCCTAAACCCCTAAAGCCCTAAAACCCTAAAACCCTAAAGCCCTAAACGCTAAAACCATAAACCCTGAAGAACCCTAAAGCCCCAAAGCCCCAAAGCCCTAAACCCGACGATCGCGCCAGGTCTCTTCGGAAGGCCTCGAGGAGGCCTCTGAGGAGCTCACTCTCGGACTCCATCATCTCAGGTCCCGGGGGCTTCTTTTTTTTGGGGGTTTCAGGTTTAGGTTTAGGGTTTAGAGTTTCAGGTTTAGGGTTTCAGTTTGGGGTTTAGGGTTTAGGGGTTTAGGGTATAGAGGCTTGTGTTTTTGGTCTTCTGCTTGCCTGAAACATATAACCCGAACTGTTTTTGGGTATAGGGTTTAGGGTTATAAACCCTAAACCCTATACCCAAAACGGTTTGGGTTTTGGGGCTGGGGGGTTGTGTTGCTTCTTTTACTTATTATTGCTGATGGTTGTTATTTTGGTGTTGTGTTTCGTTGTTTGCCTTGTTGGGGAGATGGGGTATGTGTGTTATTTATTTGTTTGTTACTGTATATTTTGTAGTTGTATTGTTTTGGCTATTTGATTTGGGTGTAGTTGTCTGTCGTCTTTTTAACACAATGCGTCTTAGAGGTTGGGTTTAAGTTTGTTAAACCCTAAACCCTAAATCCTAAACCCCAATAGGTTTGTTCTCTTGGTTTCTCCAGTTCTTAAAGTTGAGGGTCTCCTGGGCTTGGGCTTAATAGGGGGGCCTAAATCTTGCCAACAGTATTTTATGTTTTTTTTGGGTGGTCCTTAACATTATGATCATAGAAGACTGGGCCCCAAAACCCTAGTCCAAGTATTGAGGCGCGTATTTTAGCGTTGTAGCGCTTTGGATGTAGGGTCTAGGAGTATTTAAAGGGTGCTGGCAAGGTTCCGCGTGGCTTTAGGTTTGACTGGCTTGTAGAGTGTACATGTCTTTAGGTCTGATAAGGCGTTCCTTCAGCTTCCTCGCGCAACGAGTGCTCTGAAAGGGTTCATGCTTCTAAGCTGGTTTAGGTACTAAGGGCTTAGAGTCTTGGAGTGTTTCTGCAAGGGTTGAGTCCTCTAAAGGGATTTAGGGCTTCGGGCTTTGAGTTTAGAGTCGGAGTATGTTGAACAGAAATAGGGTGCAGGATTCGGATGTCCGGCGAGGCCCGGACCTGCGATGAAAAAAGCGTACTGAGCTTGGATCTCTCAAGGCCCTTCACCCCAAACCCCAAGCCATACAAACTCTAAAGAGGGCCCCCTCTCAGACAAAAAAATTAGCGCAAGGGAGCTACTCCAGGCTCAAATCATGCATCTTGTAGTCGGAGATGTTAAGGTTTAAGGGTTAGTGAGGTTTGGGCGGAGATTTTGGACTAAAATAAAGGCCGTGACGACCTGAAGAGGCTACTCGATGATTTGCGGTTTGGACCCTGTCTCCAAGCGTGCTCTCAGCAGCCATGAAAGCTAGCTTGAGAGCTGTTACATTCTGGGGACTCGGGACTGCAATCTGGTCGTTTCTTCTTGTCCCTCCGGGCCTCGTCGTGCCGAGCCAGTCACGTTTTGCATCGGCACCGCTTCAACATACCAAGTGCTCATGCAGATGCAGGCATACACGGGCTCCAACTTCTACAGTCTTGCTAGGCTCCAAAACTTCCGTAAGGCCCGGCAACGCTGCAGCTGGGGTGTCTCGGCTGAGAGCTCGAACAAATAGCCGGCTAGGCTGCTTGGGAGACGTCCGTGATGGGCTGTGTGACATGCCAGCTGGGCTGGGACCAGTCTTGACGGTCGCAGCGGGGGGTCTGCATTCCTGTGCAGTGCTTGCAGATGGTCAGCTGGTCTGCTTTGGAGCCAACAAATCCGGGCAGTGTGACGTGCCAGCAGATTTGGGACCAGTTGTGGCGGTTTCAGTGGGATCTCAACATACCTGTGCAGTGCAGACAGGTGGTCAGCTCGTCTGCTTCGGAGCTAACCAAAATGGGCAGTCTGATGTGCCGGCAGATTTGGGACCAGTTTCAGCGGTCTCAGCAGGCGAACATCATACTTGTGCGGTGTGTGCAGATGGTCAGCTCGTCTGCTTTGGATCCAACCTGGCCGGGAAGTGTGATGTGCCAGCAGATCTGGGGCCGGTTTTTGCTGTCTCAGCGGGATTTTATCATACCTGTGCGGTGCGGACAAACGGTGAGCTCGTCTGCTTTGGGGCCAACCACAATGGCCAGTCTGATGTGCCAGCAGATCTGGGACCAGTCTTGGCGGTGTCAGGAGGTGAATATCACACCTGTGCCGTGCAGGCAGATGGTCAGCTCGTCTGCTTCGGAGATAATGCACTTGGGCTATGTGATGTACCAGCAGACCTGGGGCCAGTGTCCGCGGTCTCAGCAGCTTATTATCATACTTGCGCAGTAAGGACAGATGGTCAGCTCGTATGCTTTGGACCCGCCGTTGATGGACGGTGTGATGTGCCAGCAGAATTGGGACCAGTTATAGCAGTTTCAGCAGGCTCACTTCATAATTGTGCAGTGCGGGAAGATGGTGACGTCGCTTGCTTCGGACACAATGGAATGGGGCAGTGTGAGGCTCAGTGACTTTCACACCCATTCCTTGTCACTTCACCTGCCGGCTTTGACAGCAGACATGGCCGCAAGAATCCAGGCCCAGACCAGAAGCTGCAGCGCCGAATCACGGATAAAAGGTATGCCTCTACTTTGTAAGGTTGAGAAGTTGTGTGGTTTTTTTGTAGCCTTTAGCACCCATGTATATGCATACAACCACACATATATATATATATATATAGATGTATGTGTATATGTACATATATACATATGATATGAGCAAATTTTTGTATGTATATATATATATACACAGACTGCTCAAGATTCATGCGGGGTTTTCTTTGGGTTAACCCTGAACCTTAAACCTAGAACCCGAAACTCGAAGCCTTAGGCCCTAAGTCGGAAACCCAAACCTACCTCTCAAGCCCAAGAAGTAGGACACCTACTCCGCGCTGTTGGGCATAGGTTAAGCCTGTATGCCCAAGCCTAGAGGGTGCAAGGAACCAAACAGCAGAGGTCCCAAAACACTGAACTCTAGCTTAAACGACTTAAAGCCTACATATCGGGTAGCATATGGACCTGTGGGGATACACGTGCCTTTAGCGATACACGTAAACCCAAAGTTCGCCCGAACGACCCCAATAAAGTCCTTTTTGGTACCCTTTCTATAGATGTGTACATGCATATACATATACATATCTGTATATGTAGATACATACACACACACACACACCTAAACCCTAAACGGAGGCAAACAAAAGCCCTAAACCCCAAACCCACCCCTGAACCCTGGCTACTCCACTTTTAAGAAGAAACCCCTAAACCCACCCCGAAACCTTTACCTGGTTTAGGGTTTAGGGATTAGGGTTTAAGGTTTTAGGAGTTTAGGGATTAGGGTTAAGGGTTTAGGGTTTAGGGTGCAGGAGTTTAGGGTACCACAGAAGCCGGCTGCCAGGGCTTTCCGTTGGAGGCTCCTGCGGCGCTTTGCCGGGGCGCCGGAGGCTCGCGGACAATGCTTTCGGTGGAAGGCTTTGGGCTTATTGGGATTATTCGGGTTGTTATAGTAGGTTGAGGATTTAGGGTAAGGTTGAGGGATATTATAGGGTCGTTAGGTTTAGGATTTAGGGTTATCGGAGTCACTAGGGCTAGGATTTAGGGTGATTATGAGGGTTAGTAGGGTTTTGGATTTAAGATTCAGGGTTTGGGTTTTGAAGGCCTTAGAGGTCTAGGCCCTAGGCGCAGGGCTTATCGGGTTTAGGGTTAGGGGTACGGGTTTAGGGTATGTGAGGGCTTTTGGATTACAAGGTTTAGGGCTTCGGGCCTAGGGCTGGCAATCCACGCCCCTGCTGAGAAGGCTATAGGGTTTGTGAGGGCTTTTGTGGGGGCTTTAGGGTTACGATTTAAGGTGCAGGGCCCCTATAAAGCCTAACACCTTATGCTTTAGTGCCAGGCGGTAGGGTGTAGGATTGGTGGAGGCTTGAGGTGCAGAAGCTTTAGGGTTCGGCAGGGCTTTTGGGTTACAAGGTTTGTAGTTTGAGGCTGCAGGGCAGCACGGTTTAAGCATCCAAAACCGCAACCGTTCAACCCTGGAGTGCACAGTCATGTCGGAACTGAGATTTGCAACTTCGAGTTTCTTGTTTTTGTTTTTGCGTGTGCGTGTGCGTGGGGTGAAGTCATACATTGTAAAGCCCTAACCCGCAGCCAAACTCTATCTTGAGGAAGGGGTCCATGTGTGGTATAGAACCCATGTCAATGTAAGTAATCCCCAGCTCGCCCTAGTACTCTGAAAGTTCTCTTCGTAGCACCTATAAGTCCTCAACTCATGCACCTTCGAAGCGCGGCGGCTTTCCAGGCCTTTGCTCAAACTGTGGACAATCCTTTGGAGCCCATGTCCTTCGACCTCTTCTGCCACCTGGTCCACTACAAGGAGAGTAAGGGACAGTCCAGGAAGCGGCTGTCGCAGCAGGGTGCTTGTTGCATAAATGGATATGAACCCAGTGAGGCGTATACGTACAGCTCAGTTCGTCACAGTCACCGCTTTTGCACTTGTTCTGTGGTCGTTACGTTGGCTCGAGAAACTTCCGGCTGCACGGAGTTTTGGAAGCACGACTTGTTTTTTTGGGGGTTGGGCTGGATAGCTTCGAGTGAAGGTTTGTTTCACAGAGCAATTTCGCCCGACTGCTAGCTTCGAGTGAAGCTACGGAGCAAAGCTGGGGACCCGTACCATAAAGAGTGGTGAGGAAGCCCATCCGCAGTTGAATCCATGATTTCATGCTTCGCATGTGCATAGCTAGCCGTGGACTTCCATGGTTTCAACTGCCACGTGATGCATTTCATTGCTTTCTGTATTTTACCCTACATCCCACACCCGAAACCGTAGTCCGGATTCACGGTCGGCTCGCAGATTTCAGCAGTTCTCTGGATGTCCGAACTACCCCGAATCCTGTCCTTGAAGACCCGCGCCGCACCTGAATGCAAGTAAACCAGAGAACCAAAGCCGCGAAGCCGATACCCTGCACGCAGAGCATGCTGCAATCAATATTTTGTCGTGTCTTCTGAGGCAGACTCTGTGGACAGATCGGCTTCGACGCCAAGCTTGCAAAGTTCCGGATTTCCTTGAGGGTGCGCTATCCAAAGCTCAGTATCTAAGGAATCGCTCAATCCTACCGTAATGATTCCTTACTATGTAGGGCTTCAGAGTCTTGTCGTAGTATTCCTTAGGAACCCATTTCGTCCAGCATTGCAGCGAAGACCCGACCACGCTCCAGCAATTCAATTTGTTGACTGCTTGGCCCTCTCCTAAGCCTAAGCGCAAACCCTGAATCCTAAATCCTAAAAACCCTGAATCCTAAATCCTAAAACCCTATTCCCTAAACCCCCTCTGCATTGTCCGAGTGTGAGAGCTGCAAAAACCACTCAGTCCTCGTTCATGCCAAGACAAAACGGCCAGCCCTCCGAAGCGCCCATGGGACCTCCACCCTCGGCTCCTAAATCCTGAGCCCTAGACTGAAGGGTTTAGAGTCTGAAGGTTTAGGGTTAAGGGTTTCCAGGTGTAGAAGGGTTTAGGCTCTATGGCTGAGGGAGTTTAGGGTTTATCTGCTCGAAGCAGAGGACTTGGATCTTGCAAGTACGGTGTGGCAGCTTTCCTGCAGTCTTCTCGGCCTTCCAGATGATGAGGACCTGTCGGCTCAGGGTTGAGGGGCGTAGGGTTTAGGGCTTAAGGGCTTTAGGGTTTAGGGGTTTAGGGTTTAGGACTTTAGGGCTTTGGGGGTTTAGAGTTCAGGGCTTTAGGACTCTAGGGCTTTAGGGCTTATAAGGCTCAGACTTCTCCACAGGGCGGCTTTGGTATCGGTGCTGCAAGTCGGCCTCGGCCAAGATGATTTCAGGCCGTCGCCTGGCTGGACTTGAGTCCAGTAGCAAGAAAAGGCTTAGGGGGGGGTTTAGGATTTAGGGTTTTGGGTTTTGGGTTTAGGGCTCTGTGGGCTCTGCACCTGAAATAAGGGCTCTATAAGCATGCTATAAGGGATTGTTTTCAGGTTCGGGAGCGTTGGGTTGTGCATCAAACACAGCGTTAAGGCAGGTATACGGAGATCTTGACCAAGAAAGTGGCGGAACCTTCTTTTATTCAAAAACAGGTTGAACTCATGTGATATAAGCTCGTTTTGAACCTATCCTGTAGCCAGTTCGCAACAGGCATTTCGGCTTTTCGAACACTCGCAAATGCCACCAACATACGAGGATCCTTAGAGGAAGGATCCCACCTCAGGGATTGAAGTTTAGCTATTAACAGTTAAGGGTTTGGGTTTAGGGCTTCGGGCTTCGGGATCCCCTTGAAACTCTCGCATGGTCTCAACGAGCGAGCAGTGTTGGCAGTAGCAGTCAGCGAATGCCCAGAGATATGCAGGGACGTTGCTGCAGCTGCCCTGTCGTCGGCCATGCATTTACTGCATATTCGTTTATGGAGACGGAAGTGTGTTTGAATCTGATTGTGCGCCGTATGCTGACACATGAAGAGCAAGCGACAAACGTAAGAATGAACAAACTAGCTGTACTTTAAATGCTCATACGAACAAGTACGTAGACACAGATACAGTTCCGCCAGACATGATGGAAGATGTTCTCGTGAAATCGTAGCCCTCAGCCCTGAGCCTTTGCCCGCCTCAGGAGGCTTTCTGACCGCTGGGTAGTAGTGTCTCAAAAGAACCCAAAACTAACCCTAAACCCTACCATACCCTAAGGGTCCGTGCACCCAAATAGCATTCACTTTTGGCCCCGAAGTACCTATATAGGGACTACTTTAAGGCCAAAGTGTATACTATTTGAGCGCATGGACCCTTAGGGACACTTCGAATCGGGTTAAATAGTTGCAGGACAGTGGCATCTTGCTCCTCGGCTTTGTCGGTAGAAGCCGGAGAGGATCGTTGTTGTGGCGGCGGAGTTTAGGGTTTAAGGTTTAGGGTTTGGGGCTTAGGGTGTATGGAGGCAGTGCCTCTGAAATTAGGATTTTAAGGCATTGCTGTGGATGTAAGTTTAGGCATAGAGGGTTTTGGGGACGACTTTGAGATGTAGTTAGAGTTAGCCCCTAAACATGTCAAACCCTTGGTCCAAGAGAGAGTCTATAGGGTCCTTGGTATCAGACCTCTCCGGTTTTAGCATGGTGGTGCTCCTTGCTGCATGGCTCTTACGCCGGAGCTACGACAGTTCCGGCGGCACTTGGGTTTCAAGGGTTCGGAGGTAAGGCCCTAACAAGTCAACTTAAGCCAAACCCTAAACCCAAAGGTACAAGCACGACTTCGTGCGTGCGATGGCTTTTGCCACTCCGATCAAGAGCCTACGAGCGCTTCGCCCCTGGGC